TTTTAAAAATGTTTATATATTTTTGAGGGGGAGGAAGGGGCAGAGAGAGAGGGAGACACAGAATCTGAAGCAGGCTCCAGGCTTGGAGCTGTCAGCACAGAGGCCAACGTGGGGCTCGAACTCACAAGCCACGAGATCGAGACTTGAGCTGAAGTCAGACACTAAACCAACTGAGCCACCCAGGCGCTCCTAAAATTTTTTAAACGGTATGACAAAGATTCCAGGGGGATGGCAGAGTAGGAAGCACCAGAAGTCTGTTCCCACCTAGACAACAAACAGTTGAAATGGCAGAATCTGTCTGATGTAACTATTTTGGATCTCTGGAACTATATTGAAGGCTTGTAACTTCCAAGAGGAGACTTGGAAGGTAAATTGCAGTTGAATTTGGTCAAATTCAGCTGTTAGTAACATTTACCCATTCCACACCCTTCAACCCTGTGTCAGGCAGCAACGCACTTGTTCTCCAAGCAGCTCACACGCAGCTTGTGGGAGCCAGGGTAGACAAAAAGGACCCTGTCCTCCAAATGTCAGGAATCTGTGCTCTGATTGCTGATTGCTGCTTCTCATCACAGAAATGCAGATGAAGAGGTGAGTTGCACCTCCCCTGAATGGTTGCAAACCCTTCTCCCTCTGGTTGAAATGACTTGAAGGAGATTTAAAGGGCTGGCACTCCCCCCCCACCATTTTATTTTTCTCTTTGTCCCCTTTGTGGAGCCAGACTTTAAAGATAAGACAATCAAAAGTAACCACATATACAGAGGAAATTAGGAAGTCACCATGCATGCCCAGGGAAAGGCACAGTCTCAGAAATGACCCGGGAAGACCTTAAGTTTATACCTCAGGTTGATCTTTGATACACAGACACCCTACAACAATAAAAACAAAAACAACAACAACAACAACAACAACAACAACAACAGACACAAAAACCCGTAAATCTCAGAGGAGGAAGAGAATCTGATTTCCAGAGTTACTACATTATTAAATTCAAATATCCAATTTCAACAAAAAATTACAAGGAATACAAAGAAACAGGAAAATATGGCCCATTCAAAGGAAAAAACAATAAAACAACAGAAACTGTCCCTGAAAAAGACCTACTGGCGGATCTATAAGACAGACTTTACAACTGTCTTAAAGATGTCCTAAGAACTGATGTGGAGAAAGTCAAGAAAATGTTGTATAAACAAAATAGACGTGTCAGCAAAGAGATAAAAAACCTGAAAAGAAACCAAAAAAATTCTGCAGCTGAAAAATACAGTAGCTGAAATGAAAAATTCCCTGGAGGGATTGAGAAGCAGCTTTGAGTGGGCAGAAGAAAGAGTAAGTGAGCCTGAGAGTAGGACAGTGGGAGTTTCTGGGTCTGAACAACAGAAAGAAGAAAGATGGAAGAGGGGCACCTGAGTAGCTCAGTTGTTTGAGTGGCTGACTTTGCCTCAGGTCACGATGTCACTACTCGAGGGTTTGAGCCCCATGTTGGGCTCTGTGCTGACAGCTCACAGATTCAGCCTGCTTCAGATTCTGTCTCTGTCTCTGCCCCTCCCCTGCTCAAGCTGTCTTTCTCAAATGTAAATAAACATTTAAAAAAATTTTTTTAAAAAAGAAAAGTGGGCAGAGCCTGAGGACCTGGGGAGGCACCATCAGCTGGTGTATGAAAGCAAGTGGAACCCCTCCCCTCCCATATCCTTTGGGCAAGAGGAGGGAGGCTTGGGTAGTTTAGAAAAAGATACAAATGTGGGAGAGGTGCTCTGGGACCAAAACACTGGGGAGGAAACTGAGGTGTCTTTGTCCCCATCTCAGAAAATGCTCATGCCTATTAAAGTTTATATTTGTGGGGTTTTTTTCCTTTGTTTTCTAGCAGATCTTTGTCCCTAAGAATGCTTTTTTCTTGGGGCGCCTGGGTGGCGCAGTCGGTTAAGCGTCCGACTTCAGCCAGGTCCTCTCGCCCGGTTCGTTCGAGCCCGCATCAGGCTCTGGGCTGATGGCTAGAGCCTGGAGCCTGTTCTGTTTCTGTGTCCCTCTCTGCCCTCCGTTCATGCTCTGTCTCTCTCTGTCCCCAAAAAAAAAAAAAAAAAAAAAAAAATGCTTTTTTCTTTTTGCCTCTTGAGCAATATTTTCCAACTGTTAAGACTGGCCTTCTTACGAAAGACTGTGTTATAGGATTTCTGGTACTTGTTTTTTAGAACAGTTGCCTTTAAAAGAATTTTCAACAGGAATCTGAATAGTTAGCATTTTACGTATCATTAAAAACTTTCAAGAGCACCTGGGTGGCTCAATTGGTTAAGCATCCAACTCTTGATGATAACTCAGGTCTTGATCTTGGGGCTGTGAGTTCAAGCCCTGCCTTGGACTCTGTGCTGGTGTGAAGGCTTTTTATTATATACTTTTTTTTTTTTTTTTTGCCAAAGTTGGTTATTCCCCCAAAGTTCAACTCTATTGATGAAACACACTGTATAGTTTTATTTCACTTTACTATTTATACAGGCAAATAGGAGCAGACTGAGAGGTGCATCTGACTTCTGGGGTAAAATGAACTGTTTACCAGGGCCAATGATTCTCTTGCTTGCTTTCTTGAGAGCTGGTTTTAATTCACATATAAAAGCAACTTCATTTGGGGTACCTGGGTGGCTCAGTCGGTTGAGCATCTGACTCTTGGTTTCGGCTCAGGTCATGATCCCAGCGTCATGGGACCGAGCCCCACGATGGGCTCTGAGCTGAGTGTGGAACCTGCTTGAGATATTACCTCTCTCTCTCTCCCCCTCTTCTCTCCTCTCTGCACTGTCAGTGCAGAGCCCGACATGGGGCTTGATCTCACAAACCCTGAGATCATGACCTGAGCTGAAATCAAGAGTCTGACACTTAACCAACTGAGCCCCCAGGCACCCATGTGATAAGTGTTTTATGAGCTTTGTTTGAATTATTTTGTTTAATCCCCATAGGAACCTTGTGAGTTAAGTTGTTATCCTAATTTTAAAAAAGAGGAAACAGAGGCAGCCAGAAGGTGGTAGAGCCAGGATTTGAAGCCAGACAGGCTCCAGTCTCCCTTGACTCTTATGCTCTGTTCCTTCAAAGATTGGAGGTTCCATAGCATAACACAGGCTTGGAGTCCTAGAGTATCTGAGAGTGTATTTTCCACATAATGCCAAAATTGAAAAGCCAATAATTTTTAAATTCTTGGACTCTCCAGGAAGAAGACTTCGACCTGGTGGAGCACAGTAGCGGGTTGCCTCAGTGTGGGAAGCCCCATGTTCTTCCGTTCAGGGGCTCAAGAGTTCGGAGAACCAGGATGGTGGAAGCTCGTTCACAACAAGCCACCAACAATGAAGCCTGAAGGAGAGAAGCTGTCTGCCTCTACCCTGAAAGTAAAAGGTACTCTTGTGAGAACACTATAGCACGTGCTGGCCAGGCCGGAGCCAAGCAAGCATGAGTTTATAAGACCTCCTGCTTGTAAGGCATAGGCCAGCTGCCTCTCTGGAGCTACTCTGCTTGGCAGGTGTATTACTACGACACATTTTGTGTATGCTGTAAATAAATACCATACAAAAAATATTTTAGCATTTCCTAATCGAGTTACCAGTTCTGGAAATGTCCTTTGGTATCTGCAAGGTTCTCTATTTTCTTTTTTCTTTTAATGTTTATTTAAAAAACTTTTTTTTAATATTTATTTTTGAGAGAGAGAGAGACAGGGTGCGAGTGGGGGGTGGGCAGAGAGAGAGAGGGAGACACAGAATCCGAAGCAGGCTCTAGGCTCTGAGCTGTCAGCACAGAGCCCAACGCGGGGCTTGAACCCAGGAGCCTTGAGATCATGACCTGAGCCAAAGTCGATGCTCCACTGACTGAGCCATCCAGGTGGCCCAAAAATGTTTATTTATGTTGAAAAGAGAGAGAGAGAGAGAGACGCACACGTTCAAGGAGGAGGGGCAGAGAAGAAGGGCTGGACAGAGCATCTAAAGCGGGCCTTGCACTATCAGAGTCAGATGCTTAATTGACTGGGTCACCCAGGTGCCCCAAGCTTCTCTATTTTCAACCTCATTTTGTTTTTACAGCTTTTTATGTGGAAATTTGTAAACACCCACCAATATGAAGAGAGTGGTGTAATGAGTCCCTATGTACCTTTCTCTTCACTTCAGCAGTTCAATCCTGGCCATCTCAGTTTAATTTGGCCACTGGGTGCTTTCCCCCAACCCTCCACCCATTCCACGCCTTGGATTATTTAGAAGCAAATCCCATCATCAACATCTCATTCTTAAACATCTCAGTACTATCTTTAGGAGATAAGGATTCTTTTTCGTGGCCTAACCTGATGCCATTCTCCCACTTAAAGAAAACTCCTTACAATCACATATTGGTCTGGGATTTTTTTAATCTAAAAAATTTTAGTGAGCTTTAAATTTTTAAAAATATATTTGAGAAAAAAATCAAATAGTGTTGAAAAGTATAAAGCCTGACAGTGTCCTCCTCCCCTACACCTGCCTGCAGTTTCACTCCCCAGAGTAACCACTGCTGTGTCCTGTGAATGCTTTTAGCATTTTTAATTGAAAAAATAAACTCATGCTGTAATACTTGTTCTCTATCCCTCTCCCCCACCTTACTAGGAGACCCTGGACATCTTTCCATAGCATTCCATGTAGATCTGCCTTATTTTCTTTTTTTCCAATTGTATCCCATTGAATGACCTTCATAGGATAATATAATAGGCCATTCCCACTATTGATGGATATTTTGGTTACTTCAGCCTTTTTGTTGTTGTTATTTTAAATAATACTATATGTGGGTAAATTATTTGTGATAAATTCCTGGAAACAGGTTGCCATATCAAGGGTGTGTTTATTCCAAGTATTAGTGTTGCCAAATCACCCTCCAAAAAGTTGTAATAAAAATTCACACCGTACTAAAAAGGCATGAAAATACCCATTTCCCCATACTCTTGTTGAACATTACCGAACTTTTAAGATTTGCCAATTTCAACAGGCAAATAAAGTATTTAATTATTTAAATTTGCATTGTAATCCCTTTTTTCTTGTCAGAAGCACCCCAAGTCCTAGTTTAGGGCATTCGTTGTTGAACATTTCTCTATTTTGAACATGGTAATAGGTTCACAATTAAATTAGCAAAAGAAACTAAAGTTGAGATACTTCTCTTTTGGCAGCCTCAAAACCAGCTTTAGATCCCGTCATTACTGTGGAGGGCCTTCGAAAACGGGCAAGTCGTAATCCCGTGGAATCTGCCATGGAATTAAAAGAGAAAAGGTCTCGTACTCAGGAAGCAAAGGACATTAGGAGAGCCCAGAAGGAAGCAGCTGGCTTTCTGGACAGGAGTACTTCTTCGACCCCTGTGAAGTTTATAAGCCGCGGCCGCAGGCCAGACGTGGTTCTAGAAAAAGGGGAAGTGATTGACTTCTCATCCTTGAGCTCCTCTGACCGCACCCCTCTGACAAGCCCGTCTCCTTCTCCGTCTCTGGATTTCTCTGCCCCTGGGACCCCCGCCTCTCACTCGGCCACACCCAGCTTGCTTTCAGAGGCAGATCTGATTCCAGATGTGATGCCACCACAAGCCTTGTTTCACGGTAAGACTTGCCTTTCTTGGGTCTTTTGTTTTTCGTGTGTGATAGAATGTGTGTATTTTCACTTTGTGGGCGGTGCGCCCTGCATTTCTTCTTTCCCGTGTCTTGATTACACTGTCTTGCACTCTGCGCAGACGATGACGAGATGGAAGGCGATGGGGTCATAGACCCAGGGATGGAGTATGTACCTCCGCCTGCTGGGGCAGCAGCTTCTGGGGCAGTGGTCGGGGGCAGAAAGAAGGTCAGAGCGCCTGAACAGATAAAGCAGGAGGTGGAGAGCGAGGAGGAAAAGCCTGACAGGATGGACATTGACAGCGAAGACACAGATTCCAACACATCTTTGCAAACGAGGACTCGAGAGAAGAGGAAACCCCAGCTGGAGAAGGACAGGAAACCTAAAGGGCCCAAGTACACCCCCGTGAGCATCTACGAGGAGAAGCTGCTCCTGAAGAGGCTGGAAGCTTGTCCCAGTGCCGTTGCCATGACGCCAGAAGCTCGCAGACTGAAGCGGAAATTGATTGTCAGACAAGCGAAAAGGGATAGGGGATTACCACTTTTTGACTTGGATCAAGTTGTTAATGCTGCTCTTCTGTTAGTTGATGGAATTTATGGAGCCAAAGAAGGGGGAGTTTCCAGGCTTCCAGCTGGACAAGCCACATACAGAACAACCTGTCAGGACTTCAGAATCCTTGACCGATACCAGGTAAGATTCCCGGGGGCAGCAGATGGGGGCGGGCAGGCGGCACTACAGAAGGAGGGGGCACAGCTGTGCTCGACTGGAAGTCCTGAATGACTTCGGGGAAGAGAAGGAAACAGCAAGGGAGCAAAATAGAAAAATTTCTGGGCTTTGGTTTTTGAAACTATTCGGTATGAATACCCATGATTACAGCCGGGTTTGTTTGTTTCCTTTGGGCATTTAGGACAGAGCCTTGACACTTTCTTTGCCTCTCCTAGTCCCGGATGGGGACTGAGTTTGCACATGGTTTGTGTCATAGCCCTGAGTGGCAGGTTTGTTAAGGACATATGATGTAGCAGACCACGTGCTGAGCAGAATCGGAGGACGTGTAAACATCTGTGTAGTTAGGAGACAACGCATAGAAATAGATCCGTGTGTGGCAGCATAGCTTGAGAATATTCAGGGGAATCCAAGTCTGTGAGTGCTCCTGGGAATGGTCAGTTCCACTCAGAACTTCGAGAATGCTCCTTCCCAGAGCAGGAATGACAGGTCTGATTTCCCTGAGTCTTTGTTAGCACTTGCTCCTAAATAGCCTTTAACTAGTTTTGCTAATCTGATGGCTGTAAAGTGAAATCGCATCTTTTATTTATATGTTTCTGATTACATTCTTATATCTCTGCCCGTGAATTGCTAAATAGGATTAAATAATTGCCAAATAAGATTATTTGCACGTTTTCTGTCTTCTTTGGAAACGAGTGGGCTGATATTGCTGGTGTTGTGATCTTATTCTATGAGGTACTGTGTGTGGGGCTTTTTCTTCCACTGTGTTGGGCATGTGGTGTGTGGGCTCTTTCAATTTGAAACTCTCCTAGAGCTCTGGAACATCTTAATTTCCTATATTCTATTTTCTCTCTCTCTCTCTCTTAAATGTTTATTTATTTATTTTGATAGTGGGAGCGGGGGAGGGGAAGAGAGAGGGAGAGAGAGAATCTTAAGCAGGCCTCACTCTATCAGTACAGAGCCCAACATGGAGCTGGATCTCACAAACCATGAGATCATTACCTGAACCAAAATCAGGAGCCGGTTGCTCAACCAATTGAGTCACTCAAGCGTCCCATCTCTGTTCTGTCTTTTTGGAGCACACCTATTATTTGGATATTGAACCCTGTACACCAGGGGTTGGCAGGCCTTCTGTAAAGGGTCAGACGGTAAATGGTTTTGGCTTTGCAGGCCACACAGTCTGAGTTGCAGCTACTCAACTCTGCTGTTGTGTGAAAGCAAGATATAATGGATGGGCATGGCTGTGTCCCAGTAACACATTATTTACTAAAACAGGCTGGATCTGGCCTGTGGGATATAGTTTGCTGACAACCCCTACTCTAGGTGGATCCCTTAGTTTTCTTTTTTTTTCCTATTTTGCATCTTGCCTGGGAAGTAGTAACCTGCCTGCCTACACCCTAGAGGTGAATGGGGTGGTCCAGGAGCCTACCGTTCAGCTGGAAAACTTCCCTGAGTCTCCCTGTTTTCAGTCCCATCTTGGCTTGGCCAGGTGCTCTGGTGTCCAGAGTGTTTCCCGAGCATCTCCAGACACTCTGGTCTTCTGCCCATGGAGGGAAAGATCATTTCTGGATGTGGGCATTGGGGGTGTAGTTGGAGGCTTTAACCTCTTAGGTAGAGAGACTCTCAGTCCGGAGTCTTCTTGCCCAGTCTCAGTGTTAGCAGGACCTGATTGATGCCTTGTTGCCTTTCCTGAGGCTCTGCGTGTATATCATCCTGCTCCTGGCCTGTCTTCACTGCTTACTTAAGTTCTGGCTCTCTCGTCTCAGGTGTTTGCCACTTACTCATGTGCTTGGACTGCAGTCACCTGTTCGCCTGTTCTTTGTTCTTGTGGGTTTGTCTTTTTAATCCCTGTACTTAATTTTTTAAATTATGACATGTGTCCTGTAGCTACAGAAGAATACATAGGACATGTTATAGTTTATGAGTTAATTAAATAAATACTTTTGTATCTGTCTCTTGGGTTAAGAAACAGAACATTAGCAAAAAAGAAAGAAGAAAGAAAGAAAGAAAGAAACTGAGCATACAAGCACCTTAGAAGTTCTGTGTACTGCCTACTCCCTCCCCCTAAGAGGGAGCCGCTCTGAGTTTTTTATGTCACTTTTAGTTTTTAAAAAACTAAGTAGGAGGCACAAATCTAGCTGTGTAAGAAATTGCCACTATTAGATGAAGGCTTCCAGGAGAGAATAAGCTAAGCAATCTCTCTGGGTCATTGTTAAAGATTGAATTGTGTCCCCCAAAAGGATATATTGAAGTTTTAACCCCTTGTACCCATGAATGTGAACTTGTTTGGAAATAGGACCTTTGTAGATGTAATTAGTTAAGATGAGGTCATACTGGAGCAGGGTAGGTACTTAACAAAATATGACTGGTATCCTTAGAAGAGAAGAGGCATAGGAACAGACACAGGGAGATCACCATGTGATGACTGAGGCAGAGCGATGTGTCCACAAGTAAGGGATACCAGTGAATGCTGGCAACACCAGAAGGTAAGAGAAAGTGTGGAACAGATTCTTCCCTAGAATATCAGAGAGAGCATGGCCCTGCTAACACCTTGATTTCTGACTTCTGACCTCTAGAACTGTGGAAGAATAAGTTTGTTATTTTAGCCATCTCGTTTGTGACAAGCCATTGATATGGCAGCCCCAGGAAGCTCCCACAGTCACATTCTGGCTTCAGGTTCCATGACCCCTTTGTAGAGAAGTCAGTGTTCAAGGTCATTAGGCAGTTCTGGGGAGCATAAGGCTTACCACAGTCTGAGCCTCAGGCAGGGCTGCAGTGTATAACACTCAGTGTGGCAGAAATCTGGGCAGGGACAGTGGGGCCCTCTGTTTCCTGCGTCTGGACTGATGTGGTTCCTTCCAGCTTGTAGGAGGTCCGAGCAGTTGTTTGTGGGGCATGTGTCCTCAATTGATCTATGGAGGTCGTAGAGGAGTCTCAGAGTACATGGTGAAGCCAAGCTGAGCACCAGTGAGATTCTGGGCTACAATTCTTTAGGTTTTATAGATGGTCCAGTGTACCCTACGATCCAGTAATCACATTGTTTGGTATTTACCCAGAAAATACAAATACATGAATTCAAAGGGATACATGCACCCCTATGTTTATTGCAGCATTATTTACAACAGCCAAACTATGGAAGCAGCCCATGTCCATCGATAGATGAATGTATAAAGAAGATGGGGTGTGTGTGTATGTATATATATACATATATGTACACAATGGAATATCAGCCATAAAAAAGAATGAAATCTTGCCATTTGCAACAATATGGATGGAACTAGAGTGTATTATGCTAAGCAAAATAAGTCAGTCAGAGAAAGACAAATACTATATGATTTCACTCATATGTGGGATTTAAGAAACAAAACAAGGGGCGCCTGGGTGGCGCAGTCGGTTAAGCGTCCGACTTCAGCCAGGTCACGATCTCGCAGTCTGTGAGTTCGAGCCCCGCGTCAGGCTCTGGGCTGATGGCTCAGAGCCTGGAGCCTGTTTCCGATTCTGTGTCTCCCTCTCTCTCTGCCCCTCCCCCGTTCATGCTCTGTCTCTCTCTGTCCCAAAAATAAATAAACGTTGAAAAAAAAAAAATTTTTTTTAAAAAAAAAACAAACAAGTGAGGGGGAAAAAAGATAAAACCAACCAACAGACTCTTAACTATAGAGAACAAACTGATGGTTACCAGATGGGAGGTGGGTGGGGCAATGGGTGAAATAGGGGATGGGGATTAAAGAGTACACTTATTTTTTTAAAGTTTATTTGTTTATTTTGAGAGAGAGAATGAGTATGAGTGGGGGAGGGACAGAGAGGGAGAGAGAGAATCCCAAGTGGGCTCCACACTGTCAGCGCCAACTGACAGGGCTCCAACTCAGGAGCCCAACTCAGGGCTCGAACTCATGAACCATGAGGTCATGACCTGAGCTGAAATCAAGAGTTGGCCGCTTAATCCACTGAGCCACCACCCAAGTGCCCCTGAAGGTACATTTATGGTGAAAAGAATAAAATAAACTGATAAAAATGAATAAATAAAAGATGGTGCAGTGCAGCAGGGACTTATGATAGCCTCTGTAGCTGCCCCTTGAGTGACACCTGTCACCCAGTAGTGGTCCTGGGCTGTCCCTTCACTGGAGACTCCTTTGCCCTTCTTCTGTTTTGAATCTTACCGTTTCCTGTGCCTCATCTTTGCCATGTTGTAATTTTAGTCCCTTGTTTTAGTGGAGCATATTCTTAGTGACTTCCTGAGGAAAGCTGCCTGGGAAGTAAAATCGGAGACCTTATATGTCTGAAAGACCTTGAACTTAAAGCCAAAATTCCAAGCTAGTGTTGGGACAGGCTGAGAGACAACTTCAATACCAGAAGCAGTGCTTTCCCTTTGTGAGGGAAAATGAGGCCGAACCTGAGATTCTGTGTACAGACCCATTATCTAGGATCATCCTTTGACAAGGACCCCCCAACATCTCTTCCTTGAGGTCTTTCCCCCTGGCTAGTCAGTCTCCCAGTCTCAGAACCCTGGTTCCACGTAGAGGTAGAGGGACCTTAGCCTTCAACTTGTACTCCCACCTTCACGCTAGATGAGCTGTCCCTCCAGAGCGCTGGTTACACCTTCTCTAGAGATGGGACCTCCAGACTTCTGTGGGGAGGCAGCCACCTGGCAGCAGGGGATTGAGGATTTGGGAATCGAACTGCTGTGCACACAACTTTTACCTGCTCCTTCTTCTAAGTACCCCATTTATTCCCAGCTCCAGAGGAGTCTGGTGCTGCCACTGGGTTTTACGAGGGTACTGTGGTACAGATTGGGCTGGTTCACACCTAACCCAAAGCCAGCTTGGGAGTTTGGGCTTTAAAGCAGTTAGTATTTATCCATCTGCTTCCCAGATGTTTTTTTCCCCTGATCTTCCTATTTTTGTATGCTTCTCTCCCTTTTTTAGAAGGCTGATTCTGTAGGTTTAGTGGGTTTGGGGAGGGAGTAAAAT